CATACAGGGAAGTATAGCCATATATCCCTTACAATGGGTATATATGTTATTCTAATGATAAAGTCATTTCAGCTCATCCAAAATGAAGTTTTTTGAAACTTTTCTTTAACCAAAATCTTTCACTCTAAGACAAACAGAAATTTTGAAATGTGAGGCTTTCCGGTGGAACTGAAATTCTGAGTTGCAGCACTACAAATAATAATTAAAACAGTGACATATAAACAATTTACATTAAAAAACATGACAAGGAATCTTGGACCAAGGCACCCCAGTGAAACTAATTGCACTGACTGACTGAGTAACATCTAGGTTCTTTGCTGGGACACGTGTGGTGACAATCCCTGGCGTTTGGCTCATCCAGTGAATGTCAGAAGAGCCAGTACCATGCACAGTACTACAGCCCAAGGCTGGAGTTTTACCAAAACTCACAGGGAAGTTTAAAATCAGGAAGGTGCTCTTTCCTTTTTGACCCACAGCAACCTAATAAACCAGGTCAGTCGCCCAGGACAGTATAAAGCACAAGAACTGAGTTTCCAGAGATGCTGCCAACAAACCTCAGATCCATGGTTAATGATCTTGTGAGGGTGTACAAATCTCGAGAATACTGCTGCCACTGCTCCTCTTGCACTCAAGAACTGGCTAAGTACAAACATTTTATAGAAAGCTAAAGATGTACTAATTTTCTTAAAGATGAAGAGTGCTCATCAAGGACACTATACTGTTGGAAGTACCCCTGTATAACTGACATACGGAAAAAGATTTAAATATATACAGTACATCATTAACAGGCAAAAGGTTAAGTATTTTGTCAACTAAAAACGAGAGATCCAAAGTTAGATCTAGAGTGCTAATGCTACAGCATTATTGGAAATGAGTGTGGCATGCATATGCACATATATTCCCTGCTTTATTTATCAAATCCACTGCTTGGGGCATTGAAAGAGAGACATCAGGTCTGAATAAATTAATACATAGGTGCATTTTGGGCCAGCTAGACCATTGCTGTTGTTTGTGTAACACCGTAGGCAAAAAGGGCATTGCACTGATAAATAGATCCTCATTCTGATCCCATGACAGCATAAATCACGATTAACTCATGAATTTGCAATGGTTCGCAACTGACAGTAAAACATGAGGTCTGAATCTGGCGCACGGATCATGAAGGAATGAACAAACCGCAAGAGCCAAGATGTGATCTGTCCGGCACATGTGCAAAAAGGAGGACCACTGTGTGAGGTTAACTCTGCCCTGGCTGCCACAAACCATGCCCTGGCTCCCTCAAACCAGGAGGCTTGACAGGATGAGGCTGTTCGTGGCCTGTGCCCCTGAAGCAGAGCGTGGCAGTGCACCATGCATGCATTCGGTGGCTGCGAAGGCAGGCACAGACTGCCCCTTCCTTTCGGGGAGGAGAGCAGGCACAGCAATTTCTTCCTGTGCTCTCACAGCCAGATATTCAGCGGCTTCATGGTAGGAACCAACAGCTAAAGTGGCAAAGCCCAAACTGACAGAAGCATTCAGGTGTCTTCTGGTAGGAATCTGGTACCTAAGTTAGGAGTTAGCTTGTGCAGGAAGCCTTAAGTGGCCACAGCATCTTTGGTGACAAAAAGCTCAATCTGAGCCATGCTCCCAGGAGGTGGAAAGCTACAGCCGGAAAGCACAGCCATGAGGCTACTCTCTTCTCCAGAATGGCTAAATTCCCTCTCCGTAGCTACAGCACTACAATTACATGCTTTGATACCTGTGACGAAAAACACGACCTCCTTTTCTGCTCGGCAAAGAAATCAATGTCGGGAACTGCTACGTACCAGAAGGTCAACTCTGCTTTCTCTGACTTGGAAAATGAGCGCAGCTCTGCTGTGCTGGGGCTGGCAGGGAGTGACAGCAGTGGTAATAACAACCATCTGCATGACTGGGAGAAGTATATGTATAAACACGTGTGAACCTCTGTCCTCTGAAAACATCTTCATCGCCCCCATCACTGCAATCAGTGAGGAAAGAGAACTAAGGACTTTTTCAAGACACTCTTCTCTTCCCTTCATTTTTACACATTTTCAGAGCCATTACAGATTCCTACTAGTCACACTGCTGGCGGAGAAGTGTTCTCAGGTATGGTAGGTCCAGTGCCAGGTGTTTCCTTGACGTGCCAAGTATCACAGGTCCTGAGCCCACAGGACAGATTAAGGTTGATCTCTAATTAAACAGTTCGCTGAGTAAGCTTTAATAGGATGAAGGAGCCAGGAAGAATCAGAGGTTTTGCTGGGGAGCTGCTTCAGTCTAGCACCACACAAATGAACAGATCTTAGTTTTGTTTAAACAGGCACTAACAACATTCCTTCCCACTGGTGTCACGACCCCACAGTTTTACTGCGGTAAAATTTCATCAAAACAGTAATTTTACACTCTCAGAACCTTTGAAACAAATTACTTTCAGTGTAAGTTTACACCTATTAGAGACAAAAATTGACTGCAGAAAAGTAAGCATTGAAAGTAGCAAAGATTTTCAAGCGTATTCGATGGTGAAAGTAGTTGGAGTTTCACTTGTATTATCCTATGTTGGCATGGAAACCCATAAACATTTTATCATTGTGCAATGATATTTTAAGATCTGAAAACTTCAGAATGAAATGTGACATGATCATTTTCGAAGAGGTGCATTTGAGTGGGTTTTTTTCCTGGTTTTCTTCATTGTTCTTTTCAAAACAAACTTCATTAATTTTGCCTTACAACACTGGCACTAACTAGAAAAGTATTAAATCAGAGACATGAGGAATATCCATGGAGGATTTCAGATGATGGGTCAGGGGGACATGGACCATGCCTGGTAGACATCTATAAGCTGAGTACATGGCTCTTAAAAATCTTTCATGAATTGGTACGTTTACCCACAAAAATAGTTCTGTTACAAGTCATAGGCTGGGGAGAAATCTGTGAAGAGGTTGAAAAAACACAGCATGAAGACCAACTCCTAAATGTGAACAACAACAAGAGTGCTCGTAGTGCCCTGGGCTTGCTTTCACTTTTGTTTCTATTCTCTGTGAAAGGAAACACTGGAAGAAGTTTTGTTTCCTTCAAAAGAGGTAGGGCCTCCCTGAACATTTGTAATGAACATCCACACAAACTCTCTTCAGCAGGCAGGAATCTTCCTCCAAGTTAGTTTACCACCTTTTCATTGACTCTTCACATGGCTCCCTCAGATGAAATTTCTTTCTTAGGAATTTATGAACCGTGATAAACAAAGTAGGATGGAGGCAGGGGTTTTTTGTAGGATTCTTTTGTGCATGCGCTAAAATCTGTAAGAAACTCCTGTTCTGAAGCTGATGCAAAGAGCTACTTTGCATTAAGTAAAAGTGAACGGGAGTCCCACTAGCCCCACTCAGAAAGGGACCGGGATGCTGCAAAGCAGAAGGAGTCCAAAATGTCACATTTACTTTGCTCAGAAGTCATAGGAGGAGATCATGAGCTCACTTTCAAGAAAATGTTAATCCTCTCCATCTGACATATGTGTTGGAATGACACAGATTTGAACTGTTCTGGCACACAGATTTGAATGCTGCAAAGAGCCAGACAAATAAACTGCCTGCTGCCACGTTAAACAGGGATTTGGGGATCATTTTGCTACATTATGGTGGAAGAAAAAACAATTAATTTCCCTGTAAATGGTTCAACAAAATGCAGTTACATCTTCTAAAGATCTTCTTGATAGTCAGGAGAGATGAAGAGACCTTTGTTTTCATTTTGCCCTGTAGTTGTACTGAGAACTCTCACCTAGCACTCAGGTTATGGATGTTGGGCAGGGGCCAAAATTTCACACCGCTCCGCAGCAACAGTGTGAAAGTGAATGAACTCAAGCCTCTGCACTTGGATTTGAAATCCCCATTTTCCACGGCTGCACTGTCAGCAGACCATACTGGTGCTACCTCTGCAGATTTTAAAGCATCTGCAGATAATTATGCAGTTGCTTATAATCCACAGTCTGCGTGAGCTGAAGGTATCAAAGCCGCAGTGAAAGTCAATGGCCACATCCTAAATCATGCACGTGCCTTCGGAAAACTTCCATCTGGGCTCAACAGTTTGGAGAAAAGTTTGCAAGAAGGAGTCTTAGAGGTTTGAGAACCAACCAACCAATCAACCAACCAAACCCAAAAGTGACTTCAGATAAGTTTGAGAACCAACCAACCAATCAACCAACAAACCCAAAAGTGACTTCAGATAGACAGCCCAGAATGTACCTGGCGTTCATCTACCGTGACATTAAGCACGTCACGACCCGGGGGAGAAGCAGCGCTGTCTGAGAGGTTGCAATGGCAGCACTGGACTGGAGCTCATGGCACAGGGGCAGGTTATCGGCTCACAGGCCCCTTTCTGCGATGCACTAGCTCTACGGCAGAAGCTACAGAGCGGGATAACACAGCGTGGAGTCAGGAAACTCTGGGCCTCTCCGTACTCTTCACCAGAGCCTTAATCTCTTAAAAAAAAAAAAAAAAAAGCTGTTTTCACCATTCGCTAGTGGAGGTGGCTCAGAACGGTTGCCGAGAAATGCCCTGCAACGTGACGGCTGAGAAACGACCCCCCGCTTCGGGGAGGGGCAGGCAGGAGCCGGAGGCGCCCCGGCAGGACCCGCACCGCCCCCC